GTTTAACGTTAAAAATGATTTATGATTTTAATGTCAACACAGTTGGAGATTTGATCACAAACTCTAGCCTCATAACACGCGTTAATAAACGACCAAATTACATTTCCATATCTCCTCAGCAAGTAAAATCAGCCTTTATTTCCAGTTTTCAGCACCTCTAGACGTATCTCCTCACGCCACAAAAAATCCCTGCTAAGTGGTTAATCTCATTATATGTAGAAACTTTAGTACTGCTCACACAAAACATCGCTTCAGCACTAGTTAGACTAATCTCAATATCGTAGCTCTGGTGCAGAGGGTTTAAACTTATAATAAACACAGATTTTATCATAGGTACTACTCAATATATTAACTACGTTACTGACAACGAAATTCACAGAAAATTGAAATATTGTTGAAAAAACGAAAGATATAACATTGTACTTACTATTTGTATTTTGATCGTCAAAATGGCTACAATGTACATGTAACTTAACCATTGCAATATAATATTAGTCTTTAAATTAGTTATGAAGCATATGAAATTCTCGTTTTTCCACATCTTTATCCAATCTTCCATGGCAATTAATCAGAATTTTGAGGCATAATTTTAAGACTACGAAGGTGTTTCTCTTCTATGGTTTTCGACGATATATTTGTTTCTGTATCTTTGCCATCTTGTGACGAAGATATCTTGTAGTGTCAAGAGTTGGTCTTTTTTTTTTCAATTTGGGAGTGAAAATGTGAAGTGTAGAGCTAGGTGTATTATTAGGTCTAAACGGATTGATCGAGCTCCAGCGAATAGCGACCTCTAGAAACATCGTAGTAGTCAGTGCAGAAACATTTGTACAAACAAGGGATCCTGAGAACCTGGATGCTATTGATGTCTTGGAAGCTATTAAGGTAAGCATTAAGCACATAGTTAATATCAATAATTCAATAGATAATTAGGTTGAAATACTTTGCACAGAAATTTGAAGTCCTGAATTAACTGCTTCATTGTCCAGTAGGATTCGTACAAACTGTAAATGTCGAAAGTGAGTTTATTATTCTGTGAGAAGACACAATGACAGGTCAATATAAAATATATTATAGATGAAATTAATTAACTAAGAGAATTGTCTGCATACATTTGAATTATTTTAACTATTACAACTTTTTTATCTGTCTCTTCCTATTCTTCTCATCCATCTATCGAACAAATCAGCTCACACGTCTCTTCATTTTTCTTTCTTTATTCATTCATTGACCAAGCCACGTTATTTTCTTTCTTTCTTTCTTGTTGTCCTTCAGTGCTAAGTATCCCTGGTCGATCAGCGGAAAATTTACAGATTTACAATGCTAAAATCCGGGGTTCAATTCCCCGCAGTGGACACAGAAGATTGCCCAATAAATAGCTTCAGTACTGTTATTTACATTAATTACATTAATTGTTAATAGGCGATTAAAATCAGCACTATAAAACAATAATGAACTTAATATAAAATAAGCATTAAGAAGGTCTTTACAAAAATCCATATTAAATCCCAGTCGTCACCATAAAGTCATAACGGATATTGGTTGGTTGTTTTGAATTTCGCGCAAAGCTACACGAGGTCTATCTGCGCTAGCCGTCCCTACTTTAGCAGTGTAAGACTAGAGGGAAGGCAGCTAGTCATCACTACCCACCGCCAACTCTTGAGCTACTCTTTTTTACAACGAATAGTGGGATTGACCGTCACATTATAACGTCCTCACGGGTGGGCATGTTTGGTAGAACGGAGATTCGACCCACAGATTGCGATTCGAGCACCCTGACCATGCTAGGCCTAAATCACTATTTGTCCCACCACATCTATGTTTCACCGAAAAGGGTTTTTCTTCTTCTCTCCAAAACATGTGTCAAAAAAGTCTCACAGAAGGTGTTCAGTACGTTTTTATTCTCAACCAGCATTACTGCAAGCATCATGAGAGAATCTGTTTGTTTGAAGTCACCACGGGTATCGAAACCCGGTTTCTAGCGTTGTAAGTCTGCAGTTATACCGCTGTGCCACTAGGGGCAGGAAAATTAGAGAAATAACAAGAAGAGATATAAAAGCAATGGCAGTCTGACAATGACAATGTTTTTCTTAGAACAAATATTTTCTAGTTTATAATCATTTCTAATAGTGGGGGGGGGGGTCTTTATTATAATCCTGAGTAATTGTATATTTATTGTATTAGAGTAAAGGTGTCCGAATAGTTACCTTACACTGCGTCATTGACTACGCAAAAGTCATCCTCAAACAAGCTCACCAATTAGGAATGCTGGAAGAGGGTTGGGCATGGTTCGTCACTGATGGGGTTACTTTCTCGGTGAGTGATATGAGTTTGTTAAAACTTAAATACTTCTTATGCGGGACTGAGTTGTTTATTGAGCTTTGTGTCTGTCTGTGTGTGTAACTGAGTTTCTTAGACATTTCAATGTTAATGTTTTTATAGTTCAATTATTTTAATTTATATATATTACATCAGCAAATTATAAATTTCTAAAATTATATAACGGTTCACAAAACTGATAATATAGTGCCTTTAATTGAAACTAAAATTAGGAGTTGTACCGAGTGATATGTTTTACTTCGTTTATTGCCATGGTTGGTGTGTAAGGGCTATGTACTTATTCTACTGTTAATAACACAGGCCTGTGATGGTTTTATTGTCTTAAAATTTTTACATGTTCTATAGTAATTCCTGTACGCTGAATCCGAAAATGATATCCATTTTTCTCTATCATATACACATTTTCCCCAAAATGTTATATGTACCTTTACATAAGTGAATCATTTTCATTGAAATCGGGTCACAGTTTGTTATGCTTAAAATGTTGACAACCAATGGCTAT